TTCTGCTCCACTGCTCCGAGACTGTGGAATACCCTCCCAAACCAGCTGAGGACACCACAGACTGTGGATGCTTTCAAAAAAGGCCTAAAAACGCATCTTTTTAGAATAGCCTTTAACTAGATTTTGAAAACCCCCACATTATGCCATGCCGGCATAAATGTCACTGCTTTTATTCTGTTGTTTTAATTGTTTTTGTTGTTTTGTTTCACCCTTTTTAATTTTGTAGCACTAATTCATAGTATAGTACGTAGCAAAAAGTGAAAAAAAGGCATAGTAATGTATGTTGAACAAAGTTAAAAAAAGGACATGTTGAAAATTAATATTTTGTTATAGTATGTCACAGTATAGTTTATCAAAAAAGTAATAATACAATATTTAATGGCATACAATAGTATGACTTTTCTATACATCATTTTTATTACATACTCTGACAAACTATACCATGTTTATGATATTTCTCTTCGATACTGCACTACTTTATGGCATTATTACTTTTAATTAGTTTGACATTTTATTTAAAGGGGACCTATCATGCAAAATGCACTTTTGTACGTCTTTTATACATGAATATGTGTCCCCGGTGTTCCAGGGAACTCACCAAGTGCATTGCTACTGAGTGACAAGCTGCAGGCTATGAGGGTAAACTCGTCCACCATCTCCTGGATTACCAACTACCTCACGGACAGACCACAGTACGTCCGGCTGGGCAGTGTGCTGTCTGATGTGGTGGTTGGTAGTATTGGAGCCCCACAGGGGACTGTGCTGTCTCCTTTCCTGTTCACCTTATACACCTCTGACTTTCTATACAACTCAGAGTCATGCCACCTGCAGAAGTTTTCGGATGACTCTGCAGTGGTAGGGTGTATAAGGGATGGACGGGAGGAGGAGTACAGAGCGCTGGTGGGTGATTTTGTTGAGTGGACTGGAAGAAATCATCTGCTTTTGAATGTGGCCAAGACCAGAGAGATGGTCATTGATTTCAGGAGGAAGAGGACATCTCCTCCTCTGCCCCTGTGCATTCTGGGAGAGGATGTGGCAGTTGTGGAGGTCTACAAGTACCTGGGAGTGCACTTAGACAATGGGCTGAACTGGAGGATCAACACTGACGCTGTGTACAAGAAGGGGATGAGCCGACTCTATTTTCTGAGGAAGCTGAGATCCTTCAACGTATGCAGCAAGATGCTGGAGATCTTCTATCAGTCTGTTGTGGCTAGTGCACTCTTCTTTGCTGCAGTCTGCTGGGGGGGCAGCATCAGAGCCGGTGACACCAGCAGGATCAATAAACTGATCAGGAAAGCTGGGTCAGTCATCGGCATCAAGCTGGAACCCTTTGAAGCTGTGGTGGAGAGGAGGACACTGAACAGGCTGTTGTCCATCATGGATAACCCCACCCATCCTCTCCACCTGCAGCTGGACAGTCAACGGAGTTCCTTCTCCAACAGACTGCTGCAGCTCCCCTGTCACAAGGACAGATACTGGAAAACATTCCTGCCCACTGCAATAACACTGTACAATAAATCACCTCTGGCTGGAAGAGAACTCTCTGCTCCATAGTTTCTCTAGAAATAAAACCACCTTGTACATTTTACCCACACATAATCTGTTTCATATTTAATACTCCATAATTCCATATATTTTGAATATATATATATTTGTATATATATATATATATATATAATATCTGTATGTATATTTTCTATTTTGTATTTTGACATGTATATTTTATATTTTATTTTATATTTTATTTTATTTCTATTCTTGTATATTTGTTTTATTGTAAAATGCCTTTTATGCTGCTGTAACAAAAACAATTTCCCAATTTGGGATCAATAAAGTACGATCTATCTATCTATCTATCTAAGTGTCAGAAAACACAACCCTCTCTATTTTCCTCCATACCCAAATCTCTAAAAAAGGGGCTGCAACGGATCTGATAAAAACTGATCCAGATTTGAACACTGTCCTGACGTCAGTAAAGTGGCGCTACGGCTATTGGGCCAACTCTCCACCTATCAGGGGAATGTGGGGTTGGGCCACGGCCGGCCATTGCCGCTCGAAAGCGCTGGAGACGCTGTAGTACATATGCCAGGCCTGTAAGTGGCGCTGTAGTCTGCCACAAAAGCAGCGAAGAAGACTTCCCGCCCATAGTTACCATGGTTACCCTTCTGTTTATTCTCCGCTGTGGCTTTTTTTCTCCCTCCCCGAGGCAAGCGTTTGCTCCCGCTGCTTTAATTCAATGCAATCCCTCCCCGTCGAGGCAAGCACTGTAATTCTCTCCGGTTAGTCCACCAGCAGATGACAAACACCCACCTCTCCGCCTCTTCCAAGGAACGAGGGGACCGTGCGGCAGAGTTTCAGTTTCAGTTTCTTTCGCCGGACAAAATTAGAAAAGTGCCGGTCAAAGGTCTTCTTTGTTATTTATTGAGCTTTAAAACAAATGAATAACGACTCTATAGGCCTATAATAATATAATAAAACACGGAGGACGGAGATCTTTTTTTCTCCCCCTCTTGACTTGATCAGAGCACGGCTCCCCTCTCCTGCAGGGGGGCGTGGTCAGTGGCAGCTGACAGAATCAGCCCTGTAGACAGCAAACAGCACATAGAGCGAAATGAGGCATGGCTAAAATGCATGATCTGTTTGGTATTTTGAAAACAGAAACGTATAAATATACCTTATATAGGTATGGCTCTACAATATATCATTTAAATACAGCATGATAGGTGTCCTTTAATTTATTTTCATTTTTATTTCATTCAACTTTAATTGAATATTCAATACCTTTTAATTAATTATTTTATGTGATCCAACACTTATTAAATATTTCATAGCATACTTAAAGGTGGGGTAGGTGATTTTGGAGAAACCAGCTCGAGTGCGCTGGAATTTGAAAATACACAACCGGAAAAAATCTGCCACTTCCTTACAGAGCCCCTCCTCCAACACACACGAACGCGCTCGTGACCAATGAGGGCACGAGATAAGTTTGTGCACAGATGGAAAGCTGACAGGCAGGTAGGCCATAGAGTGGTGAAGTCCCTCCCCTTCCGGTGGACCTCCATGGGACCTTATTTCGGAAAAAATTATGTATTGAAGTCAATGGAGAGAGAAAGATTATCTTTCGATCCCGTTTGAATTGTGCCACGAATTACACATATGATGTTTGTCAATTTAAAAGATAATTTTGCAAGTCAAAAAAAAAAAAGTATGTCGTAAAACTGTGAAGTAACACATTTGTTTGTGTGAAACGCTCAATGAACTACATCTCCGGTCTCGCACAATAACACACGTCACCAAGATGGCCGTCACTGCTGTCTTGTCAAAAAAAGGATTGACTACCCTCACTATGAATGTCATGCAAAGCTGCCTGCCTTCCTTTGATTCTCTCTGAACTGCCTGGTCTTTTTAATGTTTAATGTCAACCATTTGTGCAGATAGCATGAAGTGCAAAAGATCGCCGATGCTAATGTAGCGTTAGCGTCAGCCTTTCTCCCCTGGGCTTAAATTGTGTATTATAGAATGATCACACCGGTGTGACAGTACTCTTCAAAGGGTTCACGAAATATGACTACTACTCTTACTGTTTAACATTTTGGGTTACTTAATGTTACTTCATGTTAAGGCTAATAAAAATGACAAGGCTGTAATGCTAACTAACGTGCTAGCTACTAGCTATGTAGCTAACTTGATCAAGCCACTCCTGGTCCTTCCATCAGACGGGAAGCGAAAGAACGAGCAAGACCCATTGCTGGTATGATAACAACCTGGTACTAAGCACACAGGCATCTTGTTAAAGTTATCTTATCTTAGCCATAAATAAATAATGATCTTAGCTATCTCTGGAGGAAAACAATTGTGACATCACATCTGGGATTTGTAGTCTTTCTAGTTGCGTATTTTTCATAGTCTTATATTTCAACAGTTTTACGACAAACTGTGACTTTTTTGACATGGAAATTGTGTTTTAAGATTGACAAACATCATATGTATAATTCATGGCACAATTCAAACGGGATCGAAAGATACGTTTTCTTTCCCCATTGACTTCAATGCATAATTTTTCCGAAATAAGGTCCCATGGACCGGAAGTAGATGGGCGTGACTTCGCCACTCTATCCAGTTATTTTAGCCGGGCCGGCAGTACTACGGCTTCCACAGATGACATTTTTTTATGGATTTTTTGTCAAAGCACTTAAGATATTCATTGCTATCAGGATGTTAAGAGCATTCCATGGAATATAACAAAAAGTGTATCTCGAGCCGGTTTCTCAAACTTACCTACCCCACCTTTAAGTACAATCTTGTTTGACATTGGTGACATACTACCAAGATGTTTTCAACCTACTGTAACAATGGTTGGCATGTTATTATATGGCATGTTATTGAATGACTATTTATGATCTTTGACCATTGTATTTAAAAAAAAAGAAAAGGAAAAAGAGCATTGCAGAGTTGTCCTGAAATTGCTAACTTTAATTAAAAGAAAAAAAAGTAGCCAAAGTAATGGCATACACTAAGACAACAATTTATTTTAGTTATAGATGTTTTAGTCATTGTCTCTCAACTAATCATTCGGTCGCTAAAATGACAGCTTGTTTTTAGAAGAAAAAAGGCTGTTCTGTTGTCAGAACAAAAAACCTGAAAAGCTCAACACATTTAACAACCTGGAATCAGTGTCTTCGTGGTGCTTTAAAGCAAAAAAGGCAAACCATTAAAATTCAATTTCTTTTGATCTAATAATTTAAGCTCGAACAAAAGTACAAGCTGAGTGCGAGGGCTGAAACGGACAGGATTATACTGTTACACAACCCTAACTCCTTAGCAACGGGTCCTGCACATAGCACAGATTCCTTAAAGCTACTACAAATATCCTTATCCTGGTATCAGTTTCGTGTTGTGGTGGGCAGCTCCTGAGAGTACTCAGCTTTACAAGATCTGCATTTAGCTTCGGCAATGTTAAGGCAGATAAGTCAAAACATAAATGAAAAGGTCAAGACGTCTTTAAAAGCATCAGTACAGGATTTATTTATAAAAGCATTTTTAACAGTGGAAAAGACCTGGCAACATGAAAACTTTGACATTACATATTAAGAGACAAAAACTTTTAAAATATGACTCTACACATACAGGAGCTACACGAGTGGCAAGGTAACATTTTTGTCCAAGTACGGAAAGGTGCAGGTATGCGTATGAGAATTAGTAATACAGTGCATCAGGACAGACAAAAGTTATCTGGATCTCAAGTTATTGTTCAAAAATCGTTAAGATGTTTAATTCATTCCTAACAGTCATAAAAGCTACACCATAACCTGTGCAACAGAATATGCCCTTTATGAGCCAGTAACACATGGAAAGCAAACACTTAGGTTACCACACCGAGTTATTTACAGCTAGAGCTGCCATGGCTCCTCACTGTAGCAACAGTACAATGTCAAAGGATCACTGAGGTGATGTTTATTATTGTCCACAAATCCCATGAAAAGCACAAAACCAAGTTATGAAATGTATCTTAGATCATCAAAATAAGCATTTTAATGTTTGTGTTATGACCAAAATGGCTTTTGAGGTCACAGTAAACTTGACCCCGGAGGACAAGTGGTTGTTTAAGGCAAATCTGAAGAATTTCCCACATGGCTTTCCTGAGAATGGGAGGGACGGACATAAAACCTGAAAACATCATGTATCTGACAACGACAGTTGGCCAATGGTAGTGAGGCTTAAAAAGGAGAAAGCATTTGATTTAGCGTCTGTTCACAGACCTCAGCCAATGAGTCGAGCAAGAGGCATTGGAAAATGTTCACTAGGAACAAATTAAAAAATAATTACATCTTTTTAAAAAAGGTACTTTACTTAAAAACAATCCTGTTACGCAGAGGTTAAAAGAAAGGAAGGGATATATTTGATTCTAAAAGTTGTATCAGGGTTTATGATGGATACTTATACCAGTACAGGTGCCATAGATTGTTAATTGACAGCGAGCTGCTGCAGGGACTGTGATGGGGTTAATGACCCCCCCGTGCTTTAAGTCAGAGGAAGTGGAACCACCCAGCACTTGGTATGTGATGAGATACTGAACGAGTCTCTCTGCTCCTCAGGCTCAGGATGAGGTAACAAACCGTGTGTAAAAAGAGTCTCAGTTGACCTTTTCTGCGTCCGGGTTGTCCATGGTGTTTGACCTTTGACCCTCAGCCTCGATGCATTTCTTTTTCTGAAGAATGAGGTCCACCAGAACGACAAACACGGCTGAAGAAATGAGGCAAGCCCCTGACAGGTAGAAGGCAGAGCTGTAGTCGTTCGTCTGGTCTACCAGCCAGCCTGCAAGAAACACAGAACAACATGGAACAGAAGATCAGTGTGTGCTGGTGCTGATCATAAATTAATAGACGTAACCGTTCCTGTAGAAGAAGGAAATGACCATACTATTAACAACTATACTACAACTTCTTAGTGAAAGACTATAATGACTTTGACATACATATATTTTAAATACATTTCAATGAAATACTATACTGTATTAAGATTTTTTAAATGGCAAAAATATTGCATTTTCAGTATCATTTTATGACATACAATATGGGAAGTCAGCATAAGGGGAGGCCCTACAGAAAAGGCAATACATACAACTAAATATATTTGTAGATATTACTTCCGTGTTAAATTGACATCCTGCCGCTCTGTGACGCTGCAGTTAGGCACAGTGATGCTTTGAGTTTAATTACAGCAGCATAAAAACATGCTAGCAAGGACAATTCCAACATGTTGATGCTTTGCATGAATAATGTTTACCATTTTCACCACGTTGATATCATTTATTTGCATATACAATTATTGTACTGTATTGTATTAGGGCACCAAAAGTTCATTCCATCCTATATTTATTTTGTATAGTTATGGATATTCCGACATCTTGCATGACAACATTAGCCCATTAACCTAGGACTGCACATCGGATCTGATAGCTTAGTTTTTTTTAGCAGCAACTTAAACACAGACTGCTCACCTGCAGCAGGTGGTCCTATGAAGCCCCCGAAGCTCCTAAACAGCATAAAGAGCCCAAGTCCGTTGTCAAAGCCCTCCAGGGATACAATGTCCACAATGGAGATGACGTGGATAGCCACCACGCAGCCGAACAGGAACCCGTAGAGGCAGACACACACCATGATGGCCCAGTAGCTTTGGTTGATGGGGAGCAGCATGAGCACCACCCCGAGCAGAGTGACCACCATGGTGAGCAGCTGCAGGTTCCTGACCACACGCATGTTGGCCAACCAGCCGCAGAGCAGCCTCCCTGCCAGGTCTGCTAATGCCAGGATGGAGAGGATTAATGCTGGCCAGTACTTATCCATCCCTAAACTGTTGGCGAAAGGCACTAGAAAGAGAGCTGGGATAAAAAACCCTGCTGCCGCAAAAATGGCAAACAGGATGTAGAATAGTAGTTCAGGTTTTCTCAGGAGGGAGAACTGGAAGATAACCTTCCTCTTTGGTGGGAGCTCAGCGGCATCGCCTTCTAGATTGTCTTTGGTTTTCTGTATGGGGCTCTGGGGGGCCTCCAGCGGTCTCATGAGGGCGCCGCAGACACACAGGTTGAGCTGGAGACCCCCGATGATGATCAGGGCCCCCTGCCAGCTGTACGTCTCGATCAGCCACTGGAAGAAGGGGCTGAACAGGATGGCAAAGACGCACTCTCCTGAGCTTGCGATGCCGTAGGCGATGGGACGCCACTTCACAAAGTAGTGGCTCACCATGCTGTTGGCAGGGATCCACGCGAAGCAGATGCCCAGTCCTGGAAAACGAAGATAAAAACCTTAGCTAGTGACCTCTCACATTTATCTTGATACCACTCTGAGGAGTCTCAACCCTAACTTTGCTGACCCGTTATCATTAACGGATAAAGTGTCATGACATAATGACCCAACAAGCGTATTAATGGTCTGTAGATTTAAAAAGGTCACCTATTATGCAAAATCCACTTTTTCATGTATTTTACACATAAACATGTGTAAATAGATTCTGAAAGTTTCAGGAGAAAAGATTCACTCTCTTTTTGTCCTGATCCAATTATATAAAAAGTTAAAAACCTGTCTGAAAATGAGCTTATCAGATTTGGCCACTTTATGATGTCATAACGGTCTTTTGGCTTGTGTAACCATTGGCCAACCAAGGTAACACCCCCACCCACCTTATCACCTGAATCTCCTCCTAGAGCACCATTGTGTTCTTTTTAACCAGATATCTCTCAGAGGGGCGTGGGGAGTGGCTCCTTATTTTTCATCTAAAGTAACAGACAGAGAATCAGCACTTTTGAAACAGAGGGGTTTATGGGATGCTACAATGCATGATCTGTTTGGTATTTGGAGCCAAACACTTCAGAGACAGGTTTTGTATATATCTGAGACCTATAATATATGGATGAAAAACAGTATAATAGGGGACCTTTAAGTTTGGTGTTCCCCTGACTAAAACTGACCAAACAAAGTACGTGAAAAGAGAGGAAATGCTTCGAGTGTGTTACCTTGCATGACGCCCATGGTGAGGTAGAGCCACGGCAGACTGAGGTCCAGAGAGGCCAGCAACATTCCCGAGGCTGACAGCAGACCTCCTAGTATGATGACCACCCTCTGAGAAAAATGTAGGGTAAGCACAATGGCCAATGGAGCTGAGAAGGAAATTAAAAACATTACTATAAGAACAATCTTGATTTAGAAACAACTAAAGACTGAGAACCATGTCTTTACCTCCTAGGTGAAACATGCCGATCGTAGTGGAGGTGACCCATGAGGTAGTGCTGGTCATGACTTGAAAGTGACTCTGGATGTCGAGGAAGAAGAGGCCGAAGTTCTTGAGAACGGCAGTAGTGAGGCCCATGATAAAAAAGGCAGACATGACCACAACCCAGCCGTACCCCCCGTCAGGAGGTCTCCTGGAGTTCATCTTCAGCTCCTCTCTGCAGGCCGCTCTGCTGTCTGTGCTGAACGGTTGTAGTCCAACAATCAGATAAACCTAAGGGTTCGGTGATGTAAATGGGCATGCAAAACATTCATAGATACAAGAACTAGCAGCAGTTAGTAACTCTCAAGCATATTGAACATAGGACCTGTTAAACATAATTATTTTGTTCTCAATTAAAATGAGAAGAAAAACCCTCAAGGTACTAAAAGTAGAAGAACCGGCCAGTTAGTAAAATGTCCCATGTGTTGTCATACAGTATTTATCAATATGAGATTGTTAACAAAAGTTTAAATGAAACTACCTGGGTCATATTTCAACGTATAGAGGACCCAACCCACAGGTGTTGGGAACTAGTCACATGCTGTAAGATAAGTTCAGTGGAGTAAATAGAGAAGTATTTGGCTTTTCAGTATAAATAACTGCATCGACTCCAAATTGTTTAATATACTATATATATATATATATATATATATATATATATATATATATATATATATATATATATATATATATATATATATATATATATATATATATATATATATATATATATATATATATATATATATATATATATATATATATATATAAATTCCTAAAAAATACGAATTATTATGAACCCAAATGTGTGTTTAATTGCACGGACACTTTGTAATTCCCAGCAGTCAGTGGAAAGTAGCAAAGTATTAATTTGTGTGTTTGCTACTTTCCACTGACTGCTGGGAATTACAAAGTGTCCGTGCAATTAAACACACAGTTGGGTTCATAATAATTCGTATTTTTTAGGAATTTATCTTTTCCTTTTTGCATCTTATTAGGCTACTGTTAATAAAAGGGGTATAAAAGACTACAAATACCAATCCGATACAACAGCACCATTTAGTAAACATCTAGAATAAAGTCAGGGCATTTTGGAGGGCTCAAATGTTTCTGTCTTTCCGGACACTTTTTGTGCATGGATGCTAAAATATATTTTAAACCTACATTTTCTTCCAAATTAAACTATTGTTGGCTCACAAATAACGCACAAATTATCAAACAAAGGATATTTAAATGTCTACTCACTTTTTCCCCTCGCTACAGTTCCACTGCTGGCGTCTTCAGCATGTTGCAGCTTCAAACACGACTCCAGCACCGTGAAGAGTTCAAACTCAGCTGACTTTAAAATGTCACTGCGCTCTTATTCTGAAGTTTAAGGAAAGCCCGTTAGAACGTTAGAACCTATACAGTCTATGGTTAGAACATCACCCAGGCGACTGTTAAACTGATGATGTTTTAGTTATTATTTCACCTTTTCTTCAACCTTTTCTAAGTCCATGCACGCTCCCGTTACGTCCATGGTGGAGACTCGTTCACACAGCTGTAAGCTATAAGTTAATTAACTGACCGGTGAAATGTCACCGGTTTAGAAGAAGCTGCCGTTAATGCGCAGCGTATGCAACATCCGGTTTTCAAAATAAAGTCTACAAATATATTTATATGCTGGTCTGCTCAAAGGGATCATTTTCCTGAGTCTGAATTTAAAAACACACATTGGAGAAAGGCCTGGCTACAGTAAATAGTATTTCATTAACATTATTTCAAACAAGGCTAATGAAGAATGCCTTTGAACATTTAAATAATACTAATCATCTGTTGACTAAGTGTCAACAGATGACACTGGACATTGATATTTCTCCAGCTTTTTGTGAAATATCCCACACACTTTGGACAGAGTTTTACTTTTTTGAAGCTTGACACATTTAACCCTACATTTTAGTTACTATGATGATCCAGACACGAAAATATCTTTCGTTCTTTATGAAATGTTTCAAATTAACAGCTTTTGGAATGCTTAATACAGTTTGCAGACTTTTTAAGATGCCACACTCAATTTACTGGATTACATTATTAAAATGTGTGTGGTACTAAATGAATGCTTTAGAATCTGCATGTGTATCGATAAACGTAAAGAAAATGTCTTCATTCAAACCCATTCTGTAAATACGGATATCGTGTTTTTTCCCCCTTAAATCTTATACTATACACTTTTGCAATTTAACATTCATTTATGCAGCAAAAAACGAGTTTCAAAGCGATAGATCACAAGAATTGACTTCGAATATATGAATTGAATTAATCAGTTTTTTTATTTTCACACCACCTCTGACAATGAAAACATAAAACAATAACAGATTTTTAAATCACCTTTGTCTGTACTTCATTTAAACTGACATCTTGCTGGGAGCTTAAATATAGTATTAACTATATTTCATTTTATAAAATTATAAAATTTTCTGGACATATGTACACAATTATACTGTAGGTATATACACACATGCATAGAAAACACTCTGTTCTATTAGACCATTTCTCTTCAGGTGAGGGGAAAGGGGGACAGCGAGAGCTAGCCCTGCTAGCTGTTTATATGGACACAACACACACACTCTCTCTCTCTTACACTCTCTCTCTCTTTCTCACACACACACACACACACACACACACACACACACACACACACACACACACACACACACACACACACACACACACACACACACACACACACACACACACACACACACACACACACACACACACACACACACACACACACACACACACACACACACACACACACACACACACACACACACACACACACACACACACACACACACACAACACAAGAATCTCTAGCTTTAGGCCTGGCAATAGTCTACTCACAGTCTCCACAAACTCTTGAACTCTTTTTTTTTTTTTTTAAACACTTAATCTGACCAACATCACCTTCAACAGTACTTTGAAAATGTCCATTCTGCTGCTAGCCCCAATGGCGCTCCACTTTAGAAATGGGGATGGAGGGCCTTACTTAAAGGCACCTTGGCAGTAGTTTTCAAGCTGGTCCCAGTTTGGAACCACAACTCTTCCAGTCACAAGCTGCTCTGCCACATGCTGGCACTCCGCAGGAGGAGGACCTCATCATGGCCTTGTCCCTTTGCCACAAACATGGCAACAATGTTAAGAGTGACTCGGTTGAAGAGGAGCGGGCACTTTGGGTGATTTGTCAGTTTAAAACTCCTTACTGTCCCTGAACAGGTCGATGCGAAGGGCAAGCTCCTTGAAAGAAGGACGCAGGCTGGGGTCGTTGTCCCAGCACTCCTCTGTGATCTCGTGTATCTGAGAGAGAGAGAGAGAGCAGGAGGAGAGGGAACTGTCAGGGGAGTTGTTCTTGAGATGAGCAGACAACAATTTGACATTGGGTTGGGCCAGTGTGATTAGGAGCAAACTGGTTTCACGCCTCTGCATGATTGATGTCCCAAAGTAGTGTGCCTGTTTATCAAATTACATGATCGATGATTGAAACCGGTATGTGTGTTTGAATGTGTATTGTTAAACACATTTCCCATTTATCCGTGCAGTTACGGTGTAAGGCGCTTTGAGAAGATGGTCATAGTTTAATTTTGGTAATATTTTCAACTATGCATTTGCCTTAACATTAAAAAAAGACAATTCAATATATATTATATATTATATCTATGTGCCAATTTGCAGCCCTGGTCCCTGTTTAGGCTTTTATATTTAGGTTCAAACAACTAAACAAACAAATGTATCCAAAATAACAGATAAAACGGCACTTATGCATGCATATGCTCATTTACTCTACATGACTATGCATAACATATAGGTCAAATAGTGTAACTATTTATGTTTATTTCTCGTGAATTTAGTCAGAAAGAAAATAGCAGCTCTTACCTCTGCGGGACACCCAAGGGGTTGAGGCAGCCGGCTGCCTGACTTGAGGAGCTCGATGAGGTGATAGACGATCAGCTGTCCCTGCTTGTCATTTCCCATCATGGACATAAAAACCTGAAGAGGAGAATAGTGACAGCCATGATGTAAACATATATTAAAATCTATCTGTTTCACAGAAAATAACTAGATTCGAACAGATAATAAAACTGACTCTAAATGTAAAAAGACAAATGTGATGCAATGAATAGTGGAGTAATAAACATGTTGTGATTAAGACAAACTCAAAGCAAAACATGTGGAGCAACCCTGGCAGAGATATGTTATGATTGTCAACATTGCAAAATACAGCATGACGTCACTAAGGGAGTCACTTCCCTTTGTGAAGTTCAGCGTAAAAAAGCGTGCATATTTAAGATTTCCCAAGTGTTGTTACTAATGCATGAATCACACTGGACGCCTGGCTCAGCTGGCTGAGAGCGGAAATACTGTATCTACAGCACACAAAGACTGTGAGCTATTACATCTCAAGCATCTTTCAGCACCTGGAAAAGGGCCTGAACGTGTTCTATGTAAAAACAATACATGGTATTTTTATTATTATCATTATCACATAGAACACGTTCAGGTAGAGGAGGAACACGCCCCGGGCAGTCAGGCGTGGTTCAGTCACCCTGAACCACTGAAACCACACTGTAGGAAGTTGACCGACAGGCAAGTCTCCTCCTTGGGTTCTATGTACTGTATATGTTTAGCCTGCAGGTTTCCTACATGTCTCTCTTCGAATATATTTTCTGACAAACCTTCTTGAGGAAAATATCAGAGTATTTGTCTTAAGAGCCTTCTAACTTATTTACACTACCCTCCCACTCTAAATAAAGGCATTTTGAAATCATAGTACCAGTTAAGAGTAGGGATGCCAGCGATTATTCGATTTTTCGAATATTCGTTACAGTCTCCATAATCGAAAATTATTTTTAAAATTCGATTTTATTTATATATATTTTCATTATTATTTATGTTTTTCTTTTTTTTCCTGTTTTCGCCAGGGCTGTCCGATTTTCGAATTTGATCATGGTCAGTTTCTGGCATCCCTAGTTAAGAGGCACCTTCACCTTGTTTTCTTCTTCAGGTATTACCTTTTCCCTACTCATGCCTGAACTATTACCTATTATCTTTGTCCTTTTTATGTTTATATTAATCAATATTTCTTTTTTAACATACAAAATGTGTTTTTGCCTTTGCACTTTGTGTGCATGAATTGGTGAAATAAAGGAAGCAAAACAAAAAGATAAAACATTATAATTGCAAACAGTGTCAGGTGTCTTATACACCTGCTTAAAACTACAGCTTGTCCTTTATAGTTAGTATTCCAAACAGAAATAAGCCTTTTACCATAAGGTTCTTCAATAATTGGTTTCTGCAGTTGTCAATGCTCCTCTTTGCTATTATTCTTTGTTGGGGTTTCCCTTTCCTGTAGTGTGTTATATACTGTAGGTTTCTGTGCATGTAAATGGTCTGCAAAGGCACAAATCCCAAAGTTCCCTCCAGAGGGAGTTTTTCTCCCACACATTCCCTCCCCCCCACTTCCAGAGACTACGTAACACTCGTAACAGGGCTCAAATACATTGTACGTGATTGTACGCTAAGGGGCGGGACATCTCTAAGCTGTTGACCAATCATAACAGAGCTGACCAGCCAAACACATCCGAGACTGGGCTCAGACAGAGGGTGAAAAGAGGTGTTGCAGCACAGGCAGTATGAGAAAAATAAATACTTTTTTTTAACATTCAAGCATATAAGCATGTCAAAGTAGAGTCACAAAATACAAATCTGAAACCTGAAAATGAGCATTATAGGGCCCCTTTAAAACAATCTTTGTACTGTGAATGTTTGAAAAAGGCTCCCAACTGTGCACATCATTTCTTTGTTTTCTACACTTTGTGGATGAAGCAGGGACAATAAACCAGTTGATCAAGCCTGAGTGAGCATGCATGCGTGCCAGTGTGTTGAACACTTACTGCAGGAGGGCTGGAGTTCTTCTCGCTGTGGGTGAAGAGCTCATAAAGCACGACTCCAAAGCTCCAGACATCTGACGCCACAGAGAACTTGCTCTCTGTCAACGACTCAGGCGCATACCTGTGGAGTAGCACACTGTGTCACTCTCCGTTCTGCTTTCTCTTAAGAAGCTTGTGAGTTTACGCATTGATTTCAACAGTAGGACAGGTATTTTGGATCTTAAAACAGCGACCTCAATTGGATTTTTCAAAAGTAAATTAAAGACCTATCTTTTTAATTTGGCTTAAAATGTGGGGCAATTGTACTTTTTTAGTAGTTTCACTGTTCATGTTTTATTATTTTATTGTTTTATGGTTCCAGTGATATAACTCTTTATACTAGTGATGGCAGTTTGACACTGAAGCTTCGAACGGAGCTTCAACCCTGGACTTCCTATTCCATAGAAGCAGTGATTCGAAGCTTGCTTCAAATCACGTGACATATGACGTCCGAACCAGTAACTGCTTCAAATCACGTGACATATGACGTCAGAAGCAGCAACTGCTTCAAATCACGTGACATGTGACGTCCGAACCAGT